TGCTAAAACATATTCCAGCTATATGGCGTCGGTCTGTAAATAATGGAGTCTGGAACAGACAATCCACTGATCAACAGCATGAGCATCGATCTGCGCAATTGGGAACCTATGACATGTGTCAACCAAGTGAGCCAGCCTGACCACCCGATCCCGTTAGTTGCACCTTACGACAAGCATGGGTTACTGAAGATCAATTCTAATCAGGACCTTCACTGGTACATGACTATTTAAGACGGTTCATGGCCGGGAAGGCTAATATCGTGACGCTTTTCGGTTCAATGAGCATAGCTTTCGCGGTACGTGTACTTGCAATTCAATGTTATCGCTGAATGAACACGGCGCGCCTCACTCGGAGGCTCGGACAAATGTTTAGCCTTCCCGGCACGACACCTTTAAGACCATGGTGTGTTAGTCCCCGTTCCTCTATACTCCCACGCTGAAGACTCGGCCCGTTGTTTGATATATAGCTAAAGCGTCAGTTGGGCATATCACGACTACTTCAAGAAATTTGTTACAAAGCACTCGACACACTCACAAATGTACACTTGCTTGAGTGAGGCCATTTAGTAGTTCTGGGGACCAAAAAAATATGCTTTTTTGAGAACAAAAAGAGAAAGGTTCCTTATTTCACTGCAGGTGTCTTAATGCGACGCACACTTGACGTCTTGCCCCACACACGTGACGTGACGTTGCCTGACAACTCGTGAACTGCTGTGGGTGCGGACGTATGAGCTATGTCTCCCCGAGCTCTCAAATAATTTGGGCATAAAGAAAAACGCAAATGGTTTACAAAATACCAGCAGTAATACTTGATGTTACCTTACAATATATTTACAAACACAATTGTCACAAGTTGCAGTGATCGGACCTTTCGTTGGATTTCAGAGAGCTGTTTTCTTCCCCTTGGAAGATTGTTTTGCATTATTTTTAAGATATACATTAATTATTTATTTATTCATTGACACACTGATAAAATATCAATCATAAAAATATAAATATCCCTAACTTATTTTGTCCAGTAATGGTTTTTGAGTCATATATTATTGTCATCCTCGATAATCTCCAGGGTATACGTTACGGTCACTCCCCACTATACCCTGGATGCATCCACGGTTTGGCCCGATAATTATATTATCTCCCTTTGCTGACTCCGCATTCTCACAGTAGCCAATCGGCTAAGCCGCCGTTACATCCAAGCTTGCCAGTGTCAACAAAAATAGCGGTCGCAGTCGTGAAGGTTTGTTCGCAGTACCACTCAGATTTTTGGAGAAATAATATAGACAAATTAACAGATCTGAAATTTTCAAAAATATATAAAGGAATTCCCTCCACATCTTTCAGAGTACCCTCTGCATCAATTGTGTTGCCAATTGTTTAAACGATTGGATAAGTTAAGAAGCGAAAGTGAGTTGTGATTGGTTCGCTCAACTTCCCAGCGTAGACACCCGATTGGATAAAAAGCCAGCCAAGGGAGGTAAGAAAATCGTCGGGCCAAGCCGTGGATGCATCCAGGGTATAGTGGAGAGTGATCGTAACGTATGCCCTGGAGATGGGGATGATATTATTGTCTGTATTGACATTTTCTAGTGCCTAGGTTGAGCGAATGACAAGGGACGGGTTACTCACAATAGGTGAGATGAGTTACTGAAGAATATTTCTCTCATACTCACAATAGCAATCAGTGGTTACTTCGGGTCCAGATTTGATTACTTACAGGATAACAGACCCTGGAAGATCCGGGTAAGAATTGGTCTTCAGCAACCTATGTTTGTCGAAAGAGGCGACGAACGGGATCGGGTGGTCAGGCTCTCTGTCATCGTATCCCAGTTGCATATATAGATGCTCATGATGTTGATCACTAGATTGTCTGGTCCAGAACGCCGCCATATAGCTGGTATATTGTTGAGTGTGGCGTTAAACAACATACAAATCTTCCAATTATAGACACAACATAGGAAATGCAGTTTCAGTTAATTGTATCACAACGCAAAAACGGTAATTGAAAAAAAACACCCCTACATATTTGTGCTGTGTTTAACAAATAAAGAAACAAACAGACAAAGAAACACCTATTGTGGACAGTGTTAGCTACAACTGATCACCTACCTCTTTTACAGTATGTGTAAGAATGATAAGGCTGTATTTACAGGCTCGACGCTTAAACCTCAGCTTGGCATAAAAAACAAAAAACTACGCCCCCCACCCACATATTTTTCTTTACGTCATTAAATACCCATTTTCATCAGTGGAGTATAGGTGGTTAGGTAGCCTAGTAGTCAAAGCGTTCGTTTGTCACGACAAAGACCCGGGTTCGATTCCCCCACAGGGTACAATGTGTGAAATCTAAACTCGCTGGCTCGCTCGCTCACTGAAATGATGCCACAGACCAGAGGCTGGCAATTGGACATGACATAGTGACATTGTCCTTGGATTGGTTTCGTCAGAACGTTTCCATGTAGAAGTTTCATTATGTATGAAACCATTTGGCATCTTGTTTTCAACTTCTCTAGGCCATTAATGAGACGTTATGGCAGTAACCTGTTATTGCTTCATCTGGCTAATGGGATCCGTGCCGAACCTTCGCTCGATTAGTTTTGTAAAGCAGCATTGCATTTGTCAAGCTATTCCACGTACACAAATCATCTTTCAGATGTTCTTTTCTTTAAGAACTGGTGTATACCCTGGCAAGGATTCAGTGCGTGAGTGAGTGAGTGAATTTAGTTTTACGCCGCATTTAGCAATATTCCAGCAGTATCACGGCGAGGGACACCAGAAATGGACTTCACACATTGTACTCATGTGGGGAATCGAACCCGGTTCTTCAGCGTAACGAGCGAACGCTTTAACCACTAGGCTACATCACCGTCCCGACAAGGAATGAAACTAGCTAGGCAGGTTATGATAAAATGTGGAATTTTAATTTCTTTTAATTTGAATTAAGAGAATGACGAGTATGCTGTAAATCACATTTTATTTTACACACGCTATATGGTTTCATGCGAGTTATGTCCGTGTGGGTTTCATCTGGACAGGCTTGTGTTATCGGTCTTGTGACGTCATACATTAATGTTATCTATATCTGATTTGTGATGCACTGGGTTGTCCTGCACAGTAGGCGATGTATTTTTATATTATCACTTGTCTACATTTTTGTAGAGTGCCCATTCTTTTACAAGGTGGAATCTCTCTGCGATTCAAATATGTATTTATACATATGCGCCCCGCCATAGGTGTCTCACCTGTCGTCAGAGGCGGTCGACTAGTGAGTGAGTGAGTTTAGCTTTACTCCGCACTCAGCAATATTCCAGCTGTATGGCGGCGGTCTGTAAATAATCGAGCCTGGACCAGCCAATTCAGTGATCGTAACTGGGATACGATGACATGTGTGAACCCCCCGATCCCCGGGTCTTCTCGGGTGGATTGGTGGTCAGGCTCCGTACGTATCTTTCTGGATTGCATGTCAACGTAACCATACGGGAGGTTGATCACCACTCTTAATATAAAACGTCAGTGTAAAATACCCGGCTTTGACTAACGTCAACAACTCATTTGTTGTAAAGGGAAAATAGCTGTTGAAATGATACAAATGGACCATTGACAATCAGTGAAGACACCAGGTGTTCGTAAAGACACATATACGTAGCCTGAGTAGCACAGTAGTGACTCTGCCACACGACGAGGGTCTGCAAAGAAACCCGACAATCTAATGATTGATTTAGCGAAAATTAATGGCAGTTGTCAGGGTCATAGTCAGCGATTTACAGACACCCACCAGATGGCTCATAAACACCAAGAACTCTTCCTCTTTCCTCCGGTACAGGGTAATCGTCGAAACATTATTTTGTCTTTCTCTATCCAGTATACTAAAGTACAGGGCAGAGTGGACAGTGTTAACGATTAGATAAGTACATGATACTATGTAGCGTTATCTATGTACTTGAGAGGAATAGTTTTAGTCAACACCAAATACCGATGTGATTATGCTGAACTGCTGGCTCATATTCCAGTTTAGATGTGGTTTTCCCGACGAAGAGATACTCTGAAGTTAAGGGGTTTGGTGGGGCAGCCTAGTGGTTAAAGCGTCCGCTCGTCACTCCGAAGGCCCGGGTTCGATTCCCCACATGGGCACAATGTGTGAAGCCTATTTCTGATGTCCCTCGCCGCGATAGCGCTGGAATATTGCTAAAACAAGTGGCGTATAACTAAGCTCCCTTACTCACTCTGACGTTAAAGTGGTAGTCTAGTGGTTAAAGCTTTCGCTCGTGTCGCCGAGGACCCGGGTATCATTCCCGACATGGGCACAATGTGTGAAGCCCTTTTTTGATGTCACCCGCCGTGATATTGCTGGAATTATACAAATAGCGCGTAATCCACACTCACTCTGAAGTTAAATGTGGCCACAAAACATTGATCTCCATATAATCTATGAGATGATTAATACATTTATTCATACGTGGTTTCAAACGTTAATTAGTTTTAAAATATCGATCATTTTAAACACGACATTAATTGATGAAGAGATTATCATCCTCGTGTGTTTCCGTACATCACCGCACTCGATGAAATGATAATAGACCAATGCCAGGAAACGTGGCAAAAATTCACAGTTTTATTATTAGAAACAAACAATAACTAAAGACCAACAAACACATGGTTCAATGCCCAACACTGTCAATGATCACTCACCAAGACACCATTAGCAAATACGAAGAGGAAACAACTATAGCACCAAAGAAGCTGTCAATCCATAAAACCTGTTCCTCTTCGTCATGCCAGCTGGTTCTTAATGCCACTTAAAGCAGTCATACGTGAAACAATAACTCCAACTGACCAGCTAAACAACCACTATTACTAAGTACTAAAGACATTACTAATTAACTAACTAACTCCAAACTTTGAAAGGACAGTTGACCCGTGAAGATCCCGGTTATATTGGTCTTCAGCAACGCATGCTTGTCTTGAGAGGCGACTAACGGGATCTTGGTTGACACGTCATCGTATTTCAGTAGAGTAGAGGGATGCTCACGATGTCAATCACTGGATTGTCTGACCCAAACTCGATTATTTACAAACTGCCGTCTTATAGCTGGGATATTGGCGTTAAACAACAGACAAACAAAACCAAACGAAAAGACAATTGACCAGTTGCATAGATAGTCAATCAATTCGGCTGTGAATAATAAAACAAACAACTTTAAAGATAACAATTTCTTGATTATTGCACACATCATCCATCAAGTTGTGTGTTTTATTATTGACACTAGAATGCTGATCAAGCAATTAATTCGGATGTAGTGATTAGTTATCACCTTAGAGTATCTCGGCTTGGGGTAATTCATGAGAAATACTAAAGTATACCTCCTGACAGTTAAGACCAAGACAAACACACTGAAATAACGTTTCAACCCTACCACCCAGTAGCAAGACGACCTAGAAAAAAATAATATACCGCTATCTATCTATCTATTGAAGGGATGTGTAGATCGTATCTTCTTACGGTCGTTTTCAGAAATCCTAACCTAACAAAGTCGTATTTTCCTAAAACTACCCACCTGCACATGCCAGCTAATAATACCCTATCTAGAACTATCGTCCTAATGAAACAGCATGAAACTAAACAGCATCATATCCATTTAAAGTTACATTCAAGATGTTGCCATTTCATCAACAAAATCATTTCCATCATAGGATGATAGGAGATATATTAACTGGATTTGAATATTTTGATCATTTAATACGATTAATCACAATAAACCCCTGATTACTTATCTACACTCTAACCGATCATCAGAGCATAGTTTCTGCATATAATCCAGATGAACGTCCGGAATCCAGTAAAGAGGTAAACAGAAAATAGATCCCAGTCATGCTACATGGACATTGTTATAACACAATCAGCTCATTCTGGGGTCATCAAGGGAAAAACTATGAACTAAACCCAAACCATGCTACATGCACATTGCTCCAACACAATCAGCTCATTCTGGGGTCATCAAGGGAAAAAACTATGAACTAAACCAAAATTATGCTACATGCACATTGTTCCAACACAATCAGCTCATTCTGGGGTCATCAAGGGAAAAAACTATGAACTAAACCCAAATCATACTACATGCACATTGTTCCAACACAATCAGCTCATTCTGGGGTCATCAAGGGAAAAGCTATGAACTATACCCAAATCATACTACATGCACATTGTTTCAACACAATCAGCTCATTCTGGGGTCACCAAGGGAAAAACTATGAACTAAACCCAAATCATACTACATGCACAGTGTTCCAACACAATCAGCTCATTCTGGGGTCATCAAGGGAAAAACTATGAACTTAACCAAAATCATGCTACATGCTCATTGTTCCAACACAATCAGCTCATTCTGGGGTCATCAAGGGAAAAACTATGAACTAAACCCAAATCATACTACATGCACATTGTTCCAACACAATCAGCTCATTCTGGGGTCATCAAGGGAAAAAACTGTGAACTAAACCAAAATTATGCTACATGCACATTGTTCCAACACAATCAGCTCATTCTGGGGTCATCAAGGGAAAAAACTGTGAACTAAACCAAAATCATACTACATTCACATTGTTTCAACACAATCAGCTCATTCTGTGGTCATCAAGGGAAAAGCTATGAACTATACCAAAATCATACTACATGCACATTGTTTCAACACAATCAGCTCATTCTGGGGTCACCAAGGGAAAAACTATGAACTAAACCCAAATCATACTACATGCACAGTGTTTCAACACAATCAGCTCATTCTGGGGTCATCAAGGGAAAAACTATGAACTTAACCAAAATCATGCTACATGCTCATTGTTCCAACACAATCAGCTCATTCTGGGGTCATCAAGGGAAAAACTATGAACTAAACCCAAATCATACTACATGCACATTGCTCCAACACAATCAGCTCATTCTGGGGTCAGTAAAGGGAAAAACTATTAACTAAACCCAAATCATACTACATGCTCATTGTTCCAACACAATCAGCTCATTCTGGTGTCATCAAGAGGAAAACAAATAGACCCAAATCATGCTTGTTAGAACCGCGAGATCATTCTGAAGGGAAATGGGTCTTGCTATTGAATATATCCCAAGAAGTACAGTCAAGAATAGAACTGAATACAAACCGACTTTACATTGTATTTGGTCGCCATCTGATATATCATATTGGCATGTCACGAAAATCAAAATGTCGAGTCTTCGGTGCTGCTGATGACTTCATATCGTCTGACACGTAACACAATTTGGATACTAATTTTTCAGTTGTATCAAACCCTGTCCTCTCAAGATGTATGTTCTTAACGATGAATACTAGAGGCGCTTCCTTCTGTAGTTGAACCAGCCGGGACGTAATGACATCCTTCATTGTTATAATGTCAGCAGCTGCACATTCTTGGAGAACAGATTCACTCTTGGATAAAGCATCTTTGGATCTCCTTATTCTGGACCTAACATCACCCATCTTCCCTGTGATGATCTCAAGCTCTTCACCAGCATTCTCTTGGACCTTACTAAGAAGGAATCTCTTTCGTTCTTCTAATGTTTGAATTACTTGGTGGAACGTCTCTCCAATATCGTTGACCTTGTTGGCTATCTTTATGTTGACATCTTCGACTTTGTGACTGAAAACCCGTCGGGAAGACGCAATGTCCGATTGATCATTGATCAATTTTATATTAATGTTTGACACTTTTCCTGTTGCTTTATCGTGTGGGTTCTTAATGTCTAATGCGGTATGCCTGGCGTGGGTGATTCTCAGGCAGGATGAACATACAGGCACTTCACATGTCTTGCAGAAGAATGTTTCCTTCATCCAATGGTAATCGCATTGCTTGTTCTCACTGATGATGATATCTGGCTTTTCCAGGAGGTCTGCCAATGCAACAACGACATGTTTTTCTGAGAAGTATTTGGAAAAACGTTCATGGAAAAGTTTACACGTGTCACACATGTACATGCGGCAGTCAAGACATCTGGATGTAGCGTTGTCCTCCTTGGGGCATTTATCACATTTAATCTTTCCCTGGGAATCTGTAAGTTCTAAAAACAGGATGGCCTTGAGAGTGGCGTAGTCAACTGGAAGAGAAAGGGCAGCTCTACTGTCCTTCACATTTGTTTTATCGTCACAGACAGGGCACTTTACTTCTGGACCCAAACTGCTAAGATCTGTTAAACATGAGCTGCATATTCCGTGAAGACACTTAAGAAGACGGGGGTGGTTGGCATGACCAAATGTGGTCGCACACTTTGTGCACTTCGTAGTAACGCTGCTGGCAATGCCTGGATGTCTTGATAGTGCCATGTTTCCACCTGTAAACAATACACCTGTAAATACACAGATGGAATCTGTTACTGACACTCAACAGATTCTTGGAGGACATCAATTTAAACTCGTATCACCACCAACACACCATTTATGTTTGAATCCACCAATAAACTGGTCATATAGGGAACGCTACCTCAGGATAAATTGTTGATCCATTAAAATTCCGAAAATATTATATACATAAATTGTTTGTAATTATTCATAAACTGAAGCACTTTGAAAAAGCATAGAAGTTTTGTTAGCATACTTTTTAAAGAAAGATAACAAACGTGAATGAATTATCTAACGTTTGAAATGCTTTCTAAAGACGTGTTTTAGACCTATTGTCAGAGTTCAAATCCATTGGATGTTATTTTGAAGCAGACATAATCTCTAAAATATACCTTCCCCCGTAACGTTGACAACGCAATGGGATCGTGAAAATGAAAATGTACGTGCACTGCCCGAGGTCTCAAGCATTTACGCTCAAAGCAGGGACTTCACAGACAGCCGTCTTATCAGTAGACATCAACAAACAGTAAGCGTTGCAGACAGTGCTGGACCCACTCTCCTACCCAGAGTTCCATGCGGCAAGCCAGCATAGTATCTCTACCACAGGCCAGAAAAATGTGACGATTCGTCACATCTTGCACCGTCCATTCAATATAACTTACATATTTCTCAACTCTTTAATTTTTGACGAGTCTGCACAACTAATTAAACATCTTTGATAGAATGGTTTAGTTTATTGAGAAAATATCCTAAAACATGTAACACTATTTCGATTTGCGTAGCGATCCTTTGTTTACATAGGTTGTACGGCTCCATGTGCTGTCATCGAAGCCGACGGAAAGCAAACGATGCAGCCAGTTTTATATCTAAATATGTACTGTCATAGACCTAACTGTCGCAGTTGTGGAAGAATATATATGTAACAATGTAAAACATTATGAAGAGAGCGCCGAAAAGCTTTCGTGAGTCCTGTCTCTTACTTATTATGAATATGCGCGTTTGATTACAAACAAGAGAAAAGTCCGTTCACGTGATATGCAAATTAGCCTGTGGCAGTGATGTTATGTTAAGTCATCGCTGTGCCGGAGTGTGTGCTGGACCAGGTCAACTTCCGGTTACGACGGCTAGACAAGACCGACAAATTCGACTGGCGCACCTCCGAGATCGCTTCAGGACGGCATCAGCAACAGCAGCGAACACAACTGGCAGACATGGGAGACGAATCCACCCCATTACAGTCAGGTGGCGGCTGAGACACGCGGGGTGACGATCCCGGCGCCCCTACCTTGGTCCCAGCCCCGTCACCGTCAGGCCCGTCGTCAGTTGCGCAGCAGTATGGACGTCGACCAAGGCTTTTCTTCCGTAGAAGTGTGTTTTCGGATGAGTCGAGGTACTGTGTTTCCTTTGTGGATGGAAGAGATGGTTTATCGGCGACATGGTGAACGTAAAACCCATGCATGTATCAGACAGCGAGATCGATTCGGCGGTGAAAGTGTGATGGTTTGGGGAGCAATAAACGCACGTTTCAGGAGCGACTTTCACATTTATATTCAGGGCAATATAACAGCACAGGGCTATGTGGATGAAATTCTAAGGCCTGAAGTCGTTCCTTTGCTGCGCCGTCACCAACGACGTCAGTGTCAGTTGATATTCCAGCATGACACCGCACGCCCCCATGCCTCAAGAGTGACACAAGCCTTCCTTCAGCAAACTGAAATCATTATGATGGATTGGCCTTCTTATTTACCAGACTTAAACCCCATTGATTACTTGTGGGCGAACTTTGGAGGCGAGTTTACAGACGTCAGCCACCTCCAGCCAACGTTGCAGATTTGACCTTGGCCTTGCAGCAAGAATGGAGGAACGTTCCTACGGCCTTCATTACTCGTCTCTGTGACTCTATGCCCCAACGTATCCATGCCTGGGCCAAGGTTGATGGAGGCCACACGAGATACTGACTGTGATAACAGGGGAGCCTCAGTTTGGAATACACTGTCCTGTCGCCAACATTCCATTTTTTCCTTTAACAGACTGAATGCTTATTCCATGTACATTTCATAAATAATAACAACTGATTTCATCCCATATCTTGTTTTTTCGCATATCGCATGTTAACTCGGCTATGCTTTTTCAATGTGTCTCAGTATAGATTTATAAATGCCATGTTTACAATACTTTGTAATCAAGAAAAATATAATGTAAGTTCAGTGAGTGAGTGAACGAGTGAGTTTAGTTTTACGCCGCTTTTAGCAATATTCCAGCAATATCACGGCGTGGAACATCAGAAATGGGCTTCACACATTGTACCCACGTGGGAAATCGAACCCGGGCGAGCGCCAACACAACATTATTGTTGATGATGCATTGTGAAGATGAAGGCAACCAGAAAAGACGTGCACCAGTATGTTGCCTTGGTGTACTGTCCAGTACTGTCCAGTCACCCTTTTTATGGACACCATGAGGTGACGTTCTGTGACGTCACAGTGATCCCGCTCCAAATCATTAGAGACCACTGTAAAGTCATAGTGTCTTACGTTTACGTTCGTCTTGACTCCACCCGTGAAGATCAGGGTTAGAATTGGTCTTCCGCAACCCACGCTTGTCGTAAGAGGCGACTTACGGGATTGGGTAGTCAGGCTCGTTGAATTGGTTGAGACTTGTCATCGCATTGTTTGTTGAGACATGTGTAGATCGATGTTCATGATGTTGATCACTGGATTGTCTGGTCCAGACTCTATTATTCAGAGTGCGACGTAAAACTAAACTCACTCACTCATTCGTCTGGACTCTTTCTTTAAACGACCGATCATATACACAAGAGCATAAAAATATCAAGGTTTTTATCTGTTGCTTTTTAAAAAAATTAACCTGTTCTTTCTTTAAGATGAAATTCCTGTCAGTAGTTAAATTGAGTGAGGGATTACAGCAGCCTTCTCAATTCTCAGCTCCATCGGCTCAGTTTCACACGTACCTAACTGAAGCAAGGCATTGTGGGTAGTTGATTAAGGTTCAAAGGTTGACCAGAAGTTCATGTCAAGCAAAGACTCATAATGCACTTGTTTAATTCGCCAATGGCTACTACTTCAATATGTCTTTATACCTGTCCCAAAATATATGGAATACAATATACTACATATACTCACCGTCACCTTCTTAAACGTCTGTGAATGTCATTTGTGAACACTGCAACGTCCTACACTAGGGGTGCATCCACCATAATATCAGTGATGTCATACGACAAACACATGTCTCGTAGATAACCCAGATGTAGGTGCATGATAACGTTGGTTGCCTAATCGAAGTGCTGACATCTATTGTGTTTTCGTATGCATATCACACACACACACACAAGTTCAGCGTAATATAAGCGTGTCAGGTTGGTTGGCTGATTGTTTTGTTGCTTAACACTGCACTCAGCAATATTCCAGCGATGTGGCGGCGGTCTGTAAATAATCGAGTCTGGACCAGACAATCCAGTGATCCACAATTGGGATACGATGACATGTGTCGCCTCTAAGAGAAGCATAGGTTGGCGAAGACCAAGTCTAATCCGAATCTTCACTTGTCTAAATGTACCTGATTGATTGGCACTTTAGAAGTTGGTGGGTAAGAAGAAAGTAAGATACTTTGTGGACGTTTCGGTATAAATTCTTATACCGTTCTCAAGCAATAGTGAAGTGCTTCAGCACCTAACTGTCCTAATCACAACATAATTTGGGACAATGTAGAGATATTATCTAAAAACCACCAGGACTTCACCAAAAGAAAACTGGCAGAAACAGTTCGAATCCGGAGACACAAACCCTCAATCAACAGAGACCAGGTTAGCTATTCTCGAAACGTTCGTAGCCCTACGAACTTCTTAACCCCATTCTTAACACATTGGCTACGATCAAAAAGGGCTACGAACGTTTCGAGAATAAGGGCCCAGGGCCTAGGTTTTCGAAGCTCTCTTAGCGCTAAGATAGACGTAAGTTGAAGTTAATGTGTGTCACTTCCGACTATCTTAGCGGTAAGAGAGCTTCGAAAGTCTAGGCCCAGGATATCTCATCCCATCTGCATACAGTGAACTGATAAAAACAACAGAGCAGAGCACTCCAGATATCATTGCTAATTAATCTTATCAGGCATGTAAGTTTTGTTCTGCCTCATGGACAATTGGCATCCTCCTATTGTCACTGCATTATTACCATTATCCATTGTTGTTGTTGCTGTTGCTGTTGTTGTTGTTGATGTTGTTAATCCCCTTGGTGCATACTTACATGTTGTTTTTACTTAATCCCAGTTAAGATAAGAGATATAAGATAAGATCATTCTTTATTGTCCCAAGGGAAATTTGTTTTGCATCATACGTTCTCCAGTTTTTCATTCATAAAGCAGCCATACATAACATTGCAATTGGGAATCATGAAATAATCAGGATATAAATACATCAATTTAGTACACAAACATAGATATTGAATAGAATTTGGACAATTGAAAGACAAGTCATTCACAGAATTTGTTGTTAATGCATCTAATACTAGCTGGAACAAATGAGTGGCGAACCCTGTTTGTTCTTAGAGTCGGCATACGAAGCCTTCCAGAAGGTAATCATGAATATTCAGAAAAGAGTATGTAAGTAGGATCACTTAATATTTTGTTTGCCTTTTATAAAATTTGCAGCACATAACAACTGCCGATACTTTCGATAGGAAGCCCAATAATTTTAGACGCAGTGTTTACGATTTTTGAAAGGTTGTTTTTATTCTGAACAGACAGGTTCCCGATCCAACTTAAGAAATTAAAGTTTATGACACTTTGAACAAAGGTTTTGTGAAATAACATCATGATAGTTTGGTCGATTTTAAAATGTTTCAACTTCCATAAAAAATGCAAGCGTTGCTGTCCTTTTTTATATATTTACTCAGTGTTTTCGTTCCAGGAGAGTTTCGAATCTAAAACAGTACCCAAATATTTGTATTCAGTTACTCTTTCGCTTTCATTATCTTCAATAGTTACAGCATTTATTGTTGAATTAGCTTTTCCAAAATCTATGTTCATTTCTTTGGTTTTATTGCACATTCAAAAAAAAAGAAAATTGATTTACACCATCCTACAAATTTGGAAATGTCAGCTCTGTAACTAAGTTCTGATTCCCTCATAAGGCCTACCAATGCAGCATCATCCGCGAATTTGACTGTAAAACATGTTTCTGTGTTGGATACACAGTCATTGGTGTACAATATAAACAAAATTGGTGAAATACTGCAACCTTGTGGAGCGCCAGTTGATGTGTTTACAATTGATGATTTCACATTATTAACCTGTACAAATTGTTGTCTGTTAACTAGAAATGAATTAATCCATTTCATGATGTTAGAATTAACATTCATTTTGAAAGTTTATCAATTAACAAATGAGGTTAAATAGTATTAAAGGCAGATGAAAAATCAACAAACATTATTCTGACATAAGTACCATAGTTATGTATGTAAGTCTGCTATGTCACTTGTTAGTATTTGTATTTGATATGTGTACGTGTGATATATGCATATGTGCATATGTGTATACGTGTATATGTGATATGTGTAGATGTGTTTATGTTGGGTATATGTGTTTGTTATCCATATGGTTAAACATAACCAGTGTCATATTTGCACATGAGCACAAATCACTTTTGCCTAGCAACCATGCATTGTTCCTGTATTTCGTCGTCTGTGACGTCATTGAAATGTGCCAGCACACTTGCTTACCGTGTTTTACTGCACAGTGTACATGAATAAAATGTATAATAAAGAAATTAACAATAAGAATGTCTATATATGTGTATGTGTTGTGTATATGTTGTGTATGTGTGTATGTTTTAATGCCAAATATATTACAATTATGTATATTAAAGTATCGTTTGTGTCCCATAGGCCACATGGCCGGACATTGTTAAAAATATGAAGTTTTAACGAATCGGGTTGTACCAATAATGTGTGACACTATAATAATAAACTACATTTCTTCTTCTTCTTCTGTGCTGTTGTACTTCACTCTTACTTGACAAGAATCTATACCGAAACGATGCATCATATCAAATTTAGAATTTGTCATCCATGAAGTAACTTACTTTCGTCGACGTCCACATTTAAACACTGAACAGCAGGATCATGAATAATGGAATGTTAATGACCACCGTTTCTGATTTCGAAGCTATCCAATTGTTTTATTGCTATTAATTTTTAACTGAACACGTAGCTGAGTGTGTACAGGTGTTCTGAAGATGATACAAATGAACTTGCACACATCGCTCAACGTGACATTTCACTGTCTCCCATTCCGCCATGACAGGAAGAATGATGGTGTGTGTTTTGATGTTGTTTGCTGTACAAGAAGCAGCAGGGACGGGTAAGTTTACCAATATTCATAAGTTGTTTCTTTTGTTTGGGTATTACGTTGCTATTCAATGGGGTGGTCATTTTGGCTATAAACGGTTTGCTCTGTATTGGGGATCGACTATTTGGCATTTTTGGCCCTCCACGTCTATTGAGGGAAGCTTGTTGCGTTATTGTAATTTGTTTGCGACTGAATGTTTTTTTCAGTTACAGGTGAAAAATGAAATATTTCAATAAAGCTTATTTGAAGAAAGAAAGCCTGATGTTGCCACTCGGTGGCAAAATAATTTTTTAAGCAAAAGATTATGAATATTTCCATTATTTGTTTATTAATAAGTATTTAAAAAACAATATTACGAGTTAGTCCCCGTATTTTCTCGTTATTTCCAGCTTCTTGCACAACTTCGAAACATTGAGACATTTTTGTTAATTCAATTATGTTCTCGTAGTTTTGAATTTTTGAGTTTATAAAATAAACTTAAACTGATGAGAAAAACTCAGAATTTCGTGAAAATAGATAAACTAACGAGAACAAAACAGAATAAACTTAGAAACTAATGATAAAACAACTGGAATTACCGGAATGCAATCGAGACATAAATCGAATATTTGAAAAAATAGACAAATATTTGAAATAACGGGAAAGTTAAACTTTATAAACTTAATTCATGCTACCAGCATTATGAGACACGATTCAACTTTCTTAATGAACATTTCCTGTTGCAATTTATTTGTGTCGATAAATTCCCAGTACTTCGAATTCCCAAACTCCGATCAGAGCCATGTAATACAGAGTGGTAAGCATAAGATACAATGAGGGATCAAGGACATATGTAGGTGTTGACGATGTCAGTGGGGTCAGTGTGGTTCGTGATGTCGTGATGGGGGTGTGTGGTAACCTAGTGGTTAAAGCGTTCGCTCGTCACGCCGATTCCACACATGGCGTAGTATGTGAAGCTCATATCTGGTGAAGCCCATTCTCCCAGTGATATTGCTAGAATATTGCTAAAGGCGGCGTAAAACCATAATCACTCACTCGACCAGGAGAGGTTTCTTGGGATCGGTTCTAGCCCGCGTGGACGATAAAAATTCAGGATGAAGATGCAAATGCTTGGCCGTAGTTATCTTTACGGCTATGATCGAGGAGGGTCCTCAGACATGCTCCTTCGGGGATGTTTTAAAATTAGATGCTCTCAGATGCAATTTCCTGCATTCTGAGGGTAAAATGACTCCATTTATGTAATGTACAATTTTGCATAAAATATACTGGCCAGCAAAAGAAACGCAATTCAAGAAATCAAAACAATATATTCCATTGATCAAATCCAAGTTCATGCTGAAAAAGTATAATTTTCATGAATTCTGAGTTGCGTTTTTATTGCTGTCAGTATATTAATATTTCCTGCTACGTTTGACAAAAAGTACAAAAAAGTTTCTTTGTTTAAAATTGTAGCTTCTGAACATAACATTCTGAACTAAACTTTATAGATATGTTTAGACATATCTGTATATATGCAAAACAACTGTTTTGATCAGTTTAAGTATTTATATACAATAGTTGTATTATGATAAAACACGTCACAATTTAATTCTGGACTCACAAAAGTCCAGAAACTCTCCGCACTGTGGGCACTGACAAGGGATTTGACCAAATTAAACATGCAGTTGTTATGAATCTATGCCTAGGATGAAAAAATGAAAAAAATTTTTTTCGAAAACTTTTTAATTTCGCCCATCGCTCGCCCATGGGCCGAGAGTTTAAATTTGACATGGGCGAGAACGTTTAATTTCGATCAGAATTAATGTTTTGGAGGTTGTAAATGAATGAGTGTATGTTTATAAGCATCATGACACAAATTTCAACTCATTTTGACTTAAATCGACTAACTTAGAACGATATTAAAAAATCTAGCCCATGGGCGAAAAATATGTTGGCCCATGGGCGAGAATGTTTAATTTCGCTCAAAATTCATGTTTTGGATTTTGTAAATGAATGAGTGTATGTTTATAAGCATCATGTCACAAATTTCAACTCATTTTGACTTAAATCGACTAACTTAGAACGATATTAAAAAATCTAGCCCATGGGCGAAAAATATGTTGGCCCATGGGCGAGAATGTTTAATTTCGCTCAAAATTCATGTTTTGGATTTTGTAAATGAATGAGTGTATGTTCATAAGCATCATGACACAAATTTCAACTCATTTTGACTTAAATCGACTAACTCGCCCATGGGCGAAAAATATGTTGGCATATGGGCGAGAATATTGACTTTTACTCAAAATATATGTTTTTCCATGTTTTGGATTTTGTAAATGAATGAGTGTATGTTTATAAGCATCATGTCACAAATTTCAACTCATTTTGACTTAATCCGACTAACTTGGGGCGATATTACAAAATCTCGCCCATGGCCGAAAAACATTTGGCCCATGGGCGAGAATATTGACTTTTACTCAAAATACATGTTTTTCCATGTCTTAGATTTTGTAAATGGATGAGTGTATACTTATGGGTATCATGAAACAAATTTCAACTCATTTTGACTTAATTCGACTAACATAGGGCGATATTACAAAATCTCGCCCATGGGCGAAAAACATTTTGGCCCATGGGCGAGCATATTGACTTTTACTCAAAATACATGTTTTTCCATGTTTTGGATTTTGTAAATGGATGAGTGTATACTTATGATTATCATGAAACAAATTTCAACTCATTTTGACTTAATTCGACTAACATAGGGCGATATTAAAAAATCTCGCCCATGGGCGAGAATGTATAATTTAGATCAGAATTCATGTTTTGGAGGTTGTAAATGAATGGGTGTATGTTTATAAGCATCATGACACAAATTTCAATTCAGTTTGACTTAATTCGGCTTATTTAGAGCGATATTAAAAAATCTGCATTATTTACGGTAATATGGATTAGCTAATAGCGCATTGCCGGGAAACCCACATTCACACGATCACTCAACCATACCCATTGCCGGTTGAGCCAAACCTTTTTCAACTCTTGTTTTCTTAAAAGTGGCTTTCCCAGGCTATAACTATCAGCACATCCCAATACGACCATCTGTCATTTATTACCTGTCATGAGCTATCAGTTGTATTGAAGGCTCTCGCCTATTGTTTAATTACTTAATTGTTTCACGGATAGGTATGTAGTCACTCCAAATTCACCATATGTGCGTGACTGTCCTCTCCGACGTCCGCGCCCACCTCTCAACCTAGCAATCTCGATCCACTTTCTGCTCACTATCAAGCCATCTATAACTTCACCTATCTCTAACCACCTGTCTTCTCAGAGGTCCGCGCGCCTCTCTTTTCCTTCATTATTTCACACCAACTCTACCTCATACCATCACTGTCTCCTCCGAGGTCCGCGCGCCTCCAGCCACCACCGACTCCCGCCGCCTCTCAGACATCAACCCTAACAAACTCCACGGTCATTTCTCATCTCTTCTCATCTAATTACATCAAACTACATTATTTTTTATTTTCCCTTCCTAATCACGGCTTTTTATTTATTATCATGTTTGTAGCCGTTTTCATTCAAAATTCACTTAGGTTAACACCCCATCATTTACATTTATGGGGTATGGTGGTTTATCCCTTATTATGAACATATTAATTATTACTTTAGCTCCCACCTACCCTGTCGGTGTTATTGGCTACAGCCAGAAGCCGACGTTAAACTCATAATCATCATCATATGTAGTCACTAGGCACTTAAAACATTAGAAGTAATGCCATGGAACAAGTTATCTAACTACAGTATGACGTGATATTGTATAGTAGATCATTTGAGAATAGCACTGAAAAGCATCGTTTTTTACCACCAAGGGCATAACACTGGTGACCCAGTTCAGGATTGAGTGATGACTGAAAATGTCGAAAAATGCCGCTTCGCAACAATCTGCGAATGATCCAGAGTTCTATCATTTTTATGTGATATGGCTTCACAGAACAACACAAAGGTACTACCTTGTGTTGGAAACTGTATCTGACATACTGCTTCAATGATACATTGATTCATGAAACAGAACAGAAATCACAGCAAGATAAGCCCCAGTACAGTATCTTATTTATTAATTTGTTAACGTACAACATGCGAAATAACTCAGTGCAAATGGAAATGTGGCTCGTCAGTGGTATGCGTGCACGAACATATAATATCAAAACATACACGTCGGAACAGTCAAAATTAAGAAATTGTTAAATATGAAATATTACTTTTAATTTGTAATTGTTGTAACATAAACAGTATTGTGAGAGCTTTAACTGTATTGAAATATGTCTTGTCAATCCTATTGACATTTGCCAATAACCACTTCCAAATAAAATAAATAGTCCATGCTGCTTCAGAACAAATAAAGGTCAATTAGGGAGCCCCAACTGGGTAATTAAGGAAAGAAGTCAATACACTGTCACTTCCTGCCTCGGTAGTCACACGTCAACACTCAGGAGCTAAGGGCCTTGTCAAACCTCCTCACAAAGGAAAAAAAAAAGCATCAAAACTGTGTTTTTATTCTACGTGACACTCGGTATGTCGTCATAGTATTCATTGTTGAATAAATTCTATCGTGGGCAACCCCACTCTTGCGAGGTGTACCAACCCAGTTTCTCACGTTTCGTTTTAATATTTTGTGATCAATTATTTTGTAATTCCCATCTGCCCGTCACGGCTATTCTTCGCCCGAGGTTTTAGGGAGTGAGTCTATTATAATAATTGTATTTTTATTTTGTTGTTTAACAAGCTGGACACGGAGTGCTGTTATCATGAATTTTATCATATATTAGTGGGATGCATTGATAGTAATGAAAACTTATAAGAAGATAGTGTACCTCAACATACAAACCTATCCCGATAGCTCTCATCGTCACTCTCATGTCAATCCATTGTGACAGCTGCAGTCCTCCTGTACATCCTGTATATAAAAGCAAGTTGGGGTTTTTTATTTAGGATTTATTAATGCTAAACACACATTTAACCGAGATGAAGAAGGG